ATCGTGGCAGCCACGGGCGCCATTCTCCGATACGCAAGTATTGCTCAAGTGAAGGCGTGTGCTGACGACCGTGGCTCGCCAACGGTGCGATCGGCAACTGGCTCGTCTCTCAGAAGTACGTTCCCATCTTGCCAGCAGCTCTTGCCAGCCCGGTCGGTTGGCCTTTTTAGTCTACAAGCACTTTGGTCTGTAAACGTTTGCATATTGAGTAGTCCGAGGCAGCTCTACTATTGTCCATCCGAGTGATATCACGGAGGTTGCAGGATAACGCTCCGCCACGTTTGTTGAAATGCCTCACGCCTACCGCGGCGGTGCATGGCCAAAATGTAGCGCTTAGTAAAAATACGCTGGGATGAGGGCTCAAAGCGTCGTGTAGTGGCTCGCGTTGAATATCTCGATGGATTGTTTGGAATAAAACAGCACCTTTTGGTGAGTTTCAAAACAAATACTTGCGGGCCTTTGATAGCCACGCGCGTTGGCATCCAGCCTCTCTAGACCTAGAGAAAGCGTCCCTGAAAAGATCACAGCGATTGGAGAAAGTTGCAAAAGTTTCGATTTGGGATCGACAAGCCTCACGCGCCAATGGCAAAGTGAGTGGCAATGTCAGAATGATGGTCGTTTGATTAAAAATGGCATATGCCACCTTCTGTTGGCTCGCTGCTCGACCACAAGTCCCTCGTTACTTGCAGCCCCAGCACAGCTAACGACACCATGGCAGTGCTACCGCCCACGTACCTCGGCGCGGTCATCGTGCTCTTCGTGCTCTTCCGACTGCGCCACATTGTGAGCCTCACGACATTGCTCATGCACCGCGTATCGTACTTTCTGCCGCCGTCCAACGCCGTGCTCGAGGCGCTCAACACGCCGCCGCCGCCCAAGAAGGCCAAGACGCCCAAGCCCGAGAAGACCGCGACCGAGCGCCTCGAGGCCATGAAGCTGCACATGACTCCGATCGAGACAGGGACGCTCTCGCACTGCCTCTACTTTGACTTGCTCGACACGATGGTGCTGCTGGGCGCGAGTGCCATGGTGGTCTTTTGGATCCAGCAAGGCGCCGACGCCTCGGCGCCCGACGCCAGCTACTACATGCTCGTCGTTGCGCTGTTGCTCAGTGTGCTCTTCCCCGTCCACGTCAAGTTTGGCCATGGTGTCTTTGGCTCGTACGAAGCGCGGCTCGGGCTTGGCATCGGCGGCCTTGCACTCGTCGTTGCGTGCTTTTGCATCTACACGCCTGCAGGTGTCTTTGACTTTGACGTGGACGGGGCGAGCTCGTCGCTCGAGTATCGCGTGCAGCGTGTGCTCGCGGCGGTCGCTGGCAACGCCACGACACCGGCGCCGCCGACGCGGTCGGTCTCGCTGTACCTTGGCGGCAGCCTCGGGCTTCTCGCGGGTGTCATTACGTCGACGCAGTTTCTGCCCGCGCTTCGCTTTGCGCGCATGTACCTCGACTTTATCTCGAGCCGCGCGATCCGCACGCGCTGGAAGCTCGTGCTCCACCTCAACCAGCTCCTCCCGCTGCTCGTCGCCGCCACGTTTGTTCGACCGTTCTACGCACCGTTGCTGTCCGGCGCGATCGTCTGTGACTCGGCCGACACCACGGTGTTTGCCACGGCACCGCGCGACTGCGGCGATGCGTGGATGAAAGAGTCGATGTTTCGGGACGGTCGCTTGAGCCTCGTCGTCTTCACGGCGTTGGTTCGGCTCGCTTGCTTTCGGTCGCACTTGCAGTACTTTCTGCTCGAGCCCAAAGGCATCATCACGGGCATGCTCCTCCAGCGCGGCCGCATCGACACGTCCGCGCTCGTCGACAAACTCGTGGTTCCGTTCTCGTACATTCCGGTGGTGGCGCTGCAGTACCTCGCGCCGTGCCTCACCTACGTCTCGGCGGCCATGCTGCTCCAGCGCAAGGCTGGGCGGTGCTTTCACTGGATGGCGTGGCTCGACGTCGTTGGCGTCGATGCATCGCTGGTGGCATGCGACGCCGCGACCGCACCGGTGGCCTCGGTGCCAGCGTTCTTTTTAACCGCCGGCACCGATCTGGACTTGCGAACGATCGTGACGGGGCTGCAAAGCTATCCGATCGCGCTGCCCCAAGTGTTTGAGACAATTCTTGGCTTTGTGGTCTTTTGGACGGCTTTCTCGTGGTTTGGCGTGTCGGTGACGGGCCTCTTGTACTGGCGCCGCGTCGGCACGCGCCAAAGCAGCGTCGAGCAAGAAGACGTCGTGACCAAGCACATGAAGCGCAAGCCCAAGACCATGTAGAGACGACGACCTCACAATCGAAGACAAGTGTATACTCTCTACGTGTCTTTCACCACCGACGTATCTTGAAAAACGCGACGAACCGGAAGTTGGAAGGTGGCGGTAGCTTCTGGACGTTCGGAGTGGTGGGCTGTGACGGCCAGAGGAAAGATCCATCTCGTCGGCGTGGGCTATGGCGCCGAGTCGGGACGCGATGAGGTCCTTCGACGTACCTTGATGGGAAAGGCTTGCTTGCGACAGCCAAGGTGCAACGTGCATCACGCCCCACACATGTAGACAAGCACGCTGTCGCAGTCTTTTGGGCGGAGCTGTCGAGTTCGAGCTGTCGAGTCTGGCACTTTGCTTGCATATCTCCAGACGGGTTAGGTATAACACGCGCCATTTTGAGGCCGAGGCCAAGGACGCCGTTCTGTCTTGCCCCGAGGTTGTGCTTGGCGCATGTGCCAGTCCCAGACACGCAGAGTGGAGACTGTTGACGATGCAATCGGCGCAGTCAACGTGCCTTCTCGCGCAAGGCTCTCCTGTGCATTCGCACATTTGCACGATGCACCCGCGGCGATCCAGGTCGGCGAGAACGGGCGTGAACCCCCTTAAGGTAGCGCTCGTCTGCGGGACCCCCTTTTGCGGGCGCAAGCAATGTATTATTTCCATCCATAGACCATGCAAAAATGGGCTGCTATTACCAACGACAGCAGCAGCGAGCGTGGGCCGTCAGTTGAACCCGACGTCCATGAGCTTGCGCGCGTGGCGCAGCTCGTGGTGCAAGCTGCGAAAGGTCGTTGCGTCGACGGCGAACGTTGTGGGTGTGGTCGCGTGCATGGTAAGGATGACATGCGCCGTCTTGAGGTTCTGTTCCAGAGACGCCCATGAGCATACAAGAGAACGATGCGCATTGGGAAAGGTCGCACGCACCTTGGCGTGGCGCGATCCAAGGACGACGTCAACGTGGGCTTCCAATCGGCTGTACGCGCGGCCAAGCTACCGAGCAACATCTTCAACATGAAGTCGGAAGTCGACGACGCGGACCTTCATGTTGGAGGCCGCGAGGTGGCGCCGAAGCGCGCCGTGCTGCTCGTTGTAGACGGACGCAAACGCTTTGGCCAAGTCGGCGGCAAAGCCTAGCCCACGTTGGGATGCATTTTGGCGCGGAGTCGACGGGTCGTGTACCGAGCTGCTGGAGCTCCGTGGCGAGCGCAACCTCCTCTACGTTGTACTTGGTCGCATGCAAAAGGATCCACTTGAGCGCAACGATGATCGCCTGCGATGTGCATTGCATTGCTGCACGTGTGCAACGAGAGCAGTGTCGCTACCTGGCTGTCAAACTTGGTCACGGTCGGCATGAGCAGCGCCATGGCCTAAGAACCGACCTATGATGCACGACGAGGCTAAAGCGAGGGTGCATACGTCGTCGAACGAGCCCTTGTCCATGACAGCGAAGGCTAGCAGCCGCGTGAGCTCGCAGAGATCCACAGCGCCTTGGCTCTACATGCAGATTGTCACGTTGCCAGCGTGGCAGCATGCGCGCACCGCTTGGGCGACCACTGGGATCTCGGCGAGCAGCCAGGATGGAGGCTCTTGGTCGCCGCAGAAGCGGAATTTCTACGCGAACGCATGAGGTCGCGCAGGCAGCGCCTCGACGGCCCACCATCGTGGCCGAAAATCTTTTGATCCGAACTTCGAAGGCAGAGGCCGAGATTCTTTTTATACCAGGTTGCTTTCTTGGATATATTTGTCAAGTGCAAGATTATAAAAATGGAGCCACTTGGTGTTTGTAAGCCGATTGCGAAGTTTGACAACAGCTTCGAGAATCGCGTTGTTGCACTGTGTCACAGGGCTTCATGCGGTTTGCTAAAGGACAATATTGTATACATGGGTGTCGCATAGGTTGTTTATAACGTTGTAGAATTTCCTGGCGGTCCATGTGATCTAGGGGGAAATGAGTGGCGTGATAGCCACTGAACAATGGGCAAAGCTGGGTTGATGCGGTATTTCATGCTAAATGTTTTGTCGCCGCAAAAAAGGTTTCTGTATCAGCAAGCTATCTAGTGAACGGTTGCCATAATGGAAACCATTGTTCAAAGCCTCGACAAGTAATGACACGCTTTTCACACCGTACTTGAGCAATGAAGGACAGACAGGGTGGATGCTTTGGAGCTGGAACACGGTGCATTCGAGGGCGTAGCATGGTCGTTTGAGGCACGCGCAAGATCGATCCTCGCGTCGTTGTGAGATTTCATCGACAATAATGTACGGTTTTTGCTTATCGTAAATATGGTACACGACTCGGTTACATCCAGACGACACATTATTGTCGTCATCGAGGCGCGTCATGCGTCCATTTCGCGGATAAAAAAAGTCGAGGCAGTCGTCAAACGACAATGAGGTTGCAGCCAACGGACTTGTCGCCGGGCACAAGTCGGCGCTCGCTTCGAGCTTGAGGGGCGTGAACGCGTCGATGGAATGCTCATCCGGAAGGCTCTCCATCTCGTCCTTGACGAGGCGCATCATGCAGCCGTTGCCGTTGTTAGACGGGCACCGCAGCCTGCGCACGAGCTTCGCGCGGTACTTTTGTGCATGTGTCTGCGCCTGGCGCGGGGTGCGCGTGCCAACGTGGGCTGCGATCGTCTTCCACGGACCGCTCGGGTACTTGTCCAAAGCGACAAGAAAGCGCTTGTGCTCGGCCGGCGACCAGGCGCCTGTGACGGTGGGCTTGGCGGCTTGGGGCTTGCGCGCCGGCGCCGCACTCGGCGGAAAGAAGTACATCATGCTTTTCGTTGCTTGGCGTACGAGGAGCCAAAAGTGGAAATGAAGAAAAGACCTATTGTAGATTGTGGAAAAGACATGTGGTGCATCGGCTACTAATCGGCCGCTCGCATACAAGTAAAAACGATTTAACCATAGCTGTGACATGTTCTATCAACACAGTCGCAGACACGCGTGGAAAAGAGCCGGGGTAGGGCACCGGTGGAATTTGTAGGAAGATTCAGACAGCACAATGGAACTGGAATAAAATATGGTCTTTTACTAGACGAATTGTATCGTGTCGCAACGACCCTTGTGCATGAAAACAAAAACATGTCGATGGGTTAGGCATGGGTTAGGCAGCAAGAGTCGCAGCATACATTGTACAACTACATTGCTGGTTTACAGTGTTGATTGGAAGTCGAAGTGCACCAGATTGTCCATCATCAGTCGAGTCAACAAACAGGATTTTTAATAGGCGTATGACTCACTCCCATTGCTCGAACGGATGCAGACCGAGAGGCGATTGGGTTTCCATGACCACTTCAACATGATCCATGCAAGGTCCCTCTCAAACAAGACGACCGCCCTTCTGTCGAGCAAATGAGGTGATCGCGAGCATTCACAAGTCACGTTGCCATTGCAAAGTAAGCACATATTCAAATCACTTTATACACTTCGCATCTCCACCGTGGCGTTCAAGCTCTAGGAGTGATTTAAGAAAGACCACGAGTTAAACAGACATTAAAGCTCCTTGTTGATGGAGCCATCAACCCATCTGGTGCGACATTGGACATGTGTTTAGCTTGATGATCTTGCACGCCACTCTAACACTGCATCTATCGCTCCTAGCAGCTGCGCACGACTGATAGGCACTGCAAGTCTGCACTACAGGGCTCGAACAAGAGGGAATCTGTAGGCCTTGGTTGTTGGATCACTCAACGTTGAACTATATTGCACGACTTCTACACTTTCCTGTGAGTATTATTGGGCTTTCGTTGTGCCCCAGCAGAGCGGGTGGCAGAGTCAATAGAGCTCGATTACTTTAGCCTTTCATCCCGTCGTCTCTTGGGTGCATCAGTCCGCGGGACGGCACCAAGATCAGGAGCCAAATCATGTGTTTGAAAATCCAACAGCCATGGCATGATCATGTCAATCCCGCCAACAAGTCCCTTGTGTTGTTGAGCTCAGAGAAAAATTGTTGTGAATCAGAATGCACGCAAGCAAGAAACATAAAATAACATATTATACGGCCCCGCTGGAGGTGGCTCACTAAACACAATTGCATGGATACTCAAAATATTGTCTAGTGTCAATCGGGAGTGCATTACTGCTTATATAATAGCTAGCAATGCTAATGTTGTCTGCAAGCAGACTCACCCTGTTCCTATGCCAGAAAGCGGAAGCTTCTGTGCGATAGGTGGCACTTTTTGAGGTTCAGTGATAGATAGGGATAAATAGGGCACGGGGTCGGGAGCGCGGCCGACGGGACGCGGGGTGCCGACGGGGTGCATAAATAGTCGGCGCAGAAGTGGAGGAACGCACGCCGCAACACGGGACTAGGCCGGGCGCAGCGACGGGCCGAGGCGAAGAAGGAGCGGGTACTTGGCGGCAAGAGGCTGATACGCAGGCTGGCCGTGGAGCGTGCGCACAACGTCCAGGACGGCGGCGCGCTTCGGGCAGTCGGCATCTTGAAGGCGCAGCCAGTGGCGCACGGAAGCCATCCACCCGACAAACGACAGGTCGTGCCACGCGGCGGCCGGAATCGCGCGCTTTTGTTCGTACTGCACACCGTTGTGCTGTTCCCAGATGAGCGACTTGCCGTCGATGCGCAGCCGGAGCGTCGTTGTCGTGAGTAGCATGCGAACCAGGCGCACTTCATCGTCGTTGAGAAAGCTCTGAAGCACCGTGAGGAGCTTCGCGCGGTCGATCGTGTCGAATGCGCGTGAGAAGTCGATACCTAGGATAGAGAACTGCTCTTCGTACTGGCGGATGCGGGCGACGCGCCACTTGTGCGACCACACGACGTCGGCCGTGCTGCGTCCAGGGCGAAAGCCGCTCTGATACGCGCCAATCTGCTTGTGACGGGTAGCATGTTGAACAAAAGGCGCAGCCACACGTCACTCTGGACGGGCGGCGCGAGCCCGCAGGTGCGACGAACGCGTCGGAGGTAGCTGCTCAGCGCCGACGGCGTTGTGCGCGCAGCACTTGCCATCGGGTGGGTAGAGACGTCGTCGATGGGGTCCGGAGCCACCATTTGCGCAATCTTGCCACGAGGCCAGGCTTCAAACGGCTGGATCTGATCCTTGACCAGACCGAGAAAGGGCTGCGTCACCTCCAGCGCGGCACGGTCGGCATCGGAGGCGTCGGCAAATGCGTCTTGAATCTGCCAGTACACGCGGGAGAGGTGGCAGTACATGGCGCCGATGTGGCGGCAAATCATAACCTCGATGCGGCCGTGAGGGACACTTGGGCGCCAGCGTTGGCATGCGACAGCGTGTTGACAAAGACCTCCCGGGAGGCCGGCCACGAGTCGTCGGCGAGGAGCATGGCGGAACAAAATTTTTGTCTAAACTATGTGGTAAATATCACATTGCCATCGAGATTCCCCGGGTTGCATTCCCGGATGGAGCATATCTGTTTGATTTGGAAGTATTCCGACTATATTTTGCATTTTTGGTCGGATTTTGTTTGTCCTTTTCCAGCACTTGATACTGACAGTATGAGCTGTAGTGCCATGATATCGTGTAGCACCCTCGCGGCCGTGTCCTGATTGCGACGAATAATCTACCTGTTGCCATGCCATGACAATATTCAACTAACTATTATTGCCGCAGAGGAGTGGACCGATCGGGGCTTGCATCTTCTAGACTCCCCATACTGCCAAGAATTGACAAGCGTCTCGTTTCGGTGGCGACTCTCATCTCGTTCGATTGCACTCTAAGACTAGTTTATAAAACGTTTATAGACTCAATTGTTTTCGCTTCTCGTAAATATGGTAGTATATGACGTAGTGACATCCAACGATGACACAATGGTGTCGGTGTCATGCGTCCATTTCGCGGATAAAAAAGTCGAGGCAGTCTTCAAACGTCAGCGACGGCGTGTCGTCCGTGCCACTAGCCAACGGCCGCAAGTCGGCACTCGCTTCGAGCTTGAGGGGCGTGAGCGCCTCCAGTTCCATGGGATCATCGTCGGGCAGACTTGCCATCTCGTCCTTGACGAGGCGCATCATACAGCCGTTGCCGTTGTTAGACGGGCACCGCAGCTTGCGCACGAGCTTCTCGCGGTACTTTTGTGCATGTGTCTGCGCCTGGCGCGGCGTGCGCGTGCCGACGTGCGCTGCGATCGTCTTCCACGGGCCACTCGGGTACTTCTCCAAGGCGACGAGGAAGCGCTTGTGCTCGGCCGGCGACCATGCACCCGTGGCCGCCGTCGTCGATAGCTTGGAGGTCCTGGGCTTGCGTGCCGGCACAGCCTTGAGCGGGAAGAAGTACATCATGGTATTGCCTGTCGATTGGCGTCTTCAATGCCAAAAGTGGGAATGACGTGATTTCTAATTTTTTCAATGTTTGCATAGAACGTCCATGTGGCCGCTGGTGCACAAGGTCTCAGCAGGGTCGTGACAAGTCCTGAAAACAGAGTCCCTGACATTTGGTGCGAAAGAGCCGGGCAAGTGGAGAAGGCAAAAGATTCGAAGCGTGCGCACTGGCCTTCTAATTGCTCTATCGCGGCACGGCGAATCTGCAAATGTCGCAACGCCCCTTTGGTGTGAAAGCCACAGCATACTGATGGGTGCG